GTGACAAACGAGAGACACTTTGCAAGTTGAATTTATGGGAGGAGGAGCCACTATGAGTAAGCGGGAGAAGCTTGGAGAGACAGAGCGCGTCCATCCCTGTAGAGAAAGCCAGGAAGCCAGAAAAGGACAGAGAGCAGGCACAGCCCTCCTTTCTGTTGTTTTTCCTGGACTCTGGGGCATAGATAACCTTTCAAATATTTTTCTCATGAAGCAATCCAGGTGCTTTTTTGTGTTTTTTTTTTGCTCCTTGTTACTAAAGGAGACTAGACTGGAATAGCAGACAGCAGGAGGAAAAAAGCTTCTGACAATGGAGGATGTAAAATTAAAAAAAGAAAAGACAGGATAACTGTACGAGCACAGCAGTCCAGGGCCATCAAGTATAGTGGCAAACAGTAGCTCCATTCAATAGTCCCCAAGGACCTCAGCTCAGAACAACCCTGTGCAATAATCGATATTTATAGTGATGACCTTGAGTCTCGAGGCACAGGCTGCTTAATGTGCAGCATATTTTCAAAAGGCAACGAAGCATGTAGAAAAATTTTCCTCCAAGTTAAAAAAAAAAGTTTCCGTGCTTAAAAAAAAGGCTCATGCAGCTATGTGTTAGTTTTTAGTTTGTTAAATGCATATATTTATTGATACATGCCTTGCCTTGTTCCAGCAAAGATTAAAGGTGACTGACAAGAATACACAAAAGTCAGTAAGACAGCGTAAGTTGACACAGGGAAGAAGAAAGAAAACCAGGCTGTGGACCCAGAATTGGTCCAGGAGATTGAATTATCTGCAAAGTTCCCTTCTGGGAAACACTTCACTTCTTGATAGACCATGGAACACTGTAACTAATATTACTCATTCTTTAATCATTTTCAAATCTGGAGGGAGATTAGGTTTTTACCTTATGCATGTCAAAGTCAAATCGAACTGAAGAAAGAAAGAAAAGAAAATACTGGCTTACATCAGAGAAAATATAATAATGAATGTATATAAAAATGCATTGAATAAACTGTTAATTTAAAAATATGTTTAAGGAATTCCCGTTTATTTTGGCTAAATAATTTCATCATGTTGGTAAAACAATTGTTACGTTATAGCAAAAAAGGTCATATTAATCAGAAGTGGCATCCTATTACATTATTCCACTGTTGAAATTTTCTGCAATATCCTTTTTTTTTAAACAAATCAATATTAACATATTAGAAGAACAAAGAAAGTCTAAGGTTAAGTTAAACTCTCTACACAAATGTAATGCATATTCCCATAAAAAAGCAAGAATTTTTCTAGGAGCCAGCCAAATGTTTTAATGAGTGTGTTATTTATCCTGGACCTGAATAAGGGGACTTTTTTCCTTATGGATGTTCCGACTACGGAATCACTGCTTAGAGGGGAAGAGTTTGGCCTTGAGAGCCAGGCAAGTATATAGATCTGGTGCACGTGGCTGAGTGACAGCTTGAGTAGGTTACTTCAAACTCTCTCAACTTAGTTTCTTAACTGCAAATGAAGTGAATTGTGTTGTGTGGAAGATTAAATAAGATACTGTACAGTAGGCACTTGGCTCAGTAGCTGATACCTACTGAATCTAGTCAGTGATGCCTGCGAAACAGCGATTATCCAGGACATCTCTTATTGATGTGCCACAAGCCTCTCTTTCATTACTGCCTTGTTAAAGATTTCTGCTCTCATTGTCTCATTAACAGATTTTTCTTTAACTGTATTGTTGCGAACGCATTCTGATGCTTTTTTATGGTATTGACGTGGAAACTAGTTTCATTGCCCTGTGTTAGCTTCTTACTGATCATTTTCAGTGATTTTTTTTTAACTGATAGATTCTTCTGGGAATTTGCCCTTTGAATCCATCTCGATTTTTAATTTGGTTCCTTCTCATTCTGCCCCAGATAAAGCAGTTAATCATGCCGACGTCTGTATAAAGTCTCATCTGACTAGCTCCATCATGTGTCTAGAAAGAGTTTTACAGTTTTGAAAGTTGCTTTCCCTTCATTGCTACTATGGCCTCGAATAAGAAGAAATACCTGGAAAAATAGGGGTAAATCAAGAAAACTGGAAGAACTTCCATTTTAAAAATTGAAGACTTTTTAGGGGGTGCAATTTGGCCAAAAATCTACATTGGCCATGATTTATCATTCAAACAAGGCTTTTGGGGAATGCAAGAAGCGTGCAATTAATCGTTCCACTGAGATAAACCAGGGCTCCCTAGGTAAACTGGGATGTACGGTCACTCCAGCCAAAACTGACAATGTATCTCCCTAAGACAGGGATGGAGCAGAGGAGGGCTTGAAGTGATTCTTCATGAAATTATAGGCTCTTCCACATGATCACACACTGTATTCTATGTTCACTGAATTAGTGGGGTTCTGCTTTTAGACTCTCTGCTTATAGTATGAGATTCAGTTCTAATCCCTATGCCTCAAGAAAAACACAATAATACAAAGACTCAGAGAGGAGTAACTAATATGATCAAGAGCTGTGGGTCCTAATGTTTTGGCAGTTATGACATCTCTGAGGATTTGATGAAAGCTATTAACTCTCCTTGAAGAAAAGGGCATACACAGACAGCCCCCAGGACTTGGCATGCGATTTAGGGGGCCAAGGACCATCTGATCTTACCCAGGGACCCAAGGCTGAATCCCTAACCTAGAATACATTGTATAGGTCAAAGGAAGAAAGAATCAACATTTGTTGACCATCTTTGTACATATTTCATTTCAGACTCACATCAATCTATTTTATAAATAAGGGAACTGAAGGTCAGAGAAATTAAAATTTTACAGCTAGTTAAGTGAAAAAGCCAGACTACAAATTCAAGTTTATGGGCACTAAATCTCATAATTTAAGTAATATGTAGACATAGAAGTTAATCTATACATTTATATTTCAATCTGGAACAGAATTATATTACAATGTCATGAACAATGAACACAAGCAATATCTTCAAAGTCATACCTTCTAGGTCTGGGGAATACTTCTTGAAACTGGAAAGAAATTATTAGGGCAAATAAAAATAAGCATTAAAAAATCTCAAATGCCAATATAACAGACAGATAGTGTCAAAGTATTTCTAGATAAATCCAAGATTGATAGGTTGTTGATGGATTAGTAAGAGATTTTTCAGTAGGTGAGGGTATAGCTCAGTGGTAGAGCATGTGCTTAGCATGCACAAGATCCTGGGTTCAATCCCTAGTACCTCCATTAAAAAAGTAAATAAATAAACCTAATTACTTCCCCCCAGCAAAAGAAAAGAAAAGGATAAGAGATTTTCAGTGTCTCATATCTCTGGGTTAACCTTGGAGAAAAGGACTACATCTTTGCCTGTATCCCTCAAAGCCCTTGTTAACCTCACTACCCATCAGGGCTGACCATGGATGGGACGGTGGCTTGGGCAAGGTGTCATTTCCAACCTAAGTAGTGTTTTTTGTGTTGCTGGTAAGCTCTTTTCCTTTTGGTAACCTCTGTTCCTTAGTTCTTAAAATACCTGATCCCATTTTGAAGCTGATGTGCCCCCTGAGACCTAGGATCAGTTACCTGAGAAAGATGAATCAGGACTCTACGTACCTAGTACACAGTGAGTGCTCAACAGATGCTTGTGGTTTCCCGGCCAGTCTGTATTACAGACTTTCCTAACCTAACCTATAGCTCCAACTCTGGCAGTTCTTTGCACAAAACTCCTGTCACTTCTTATTATATTTGCATTTTTCCTGTAATTATTTGTTTTAAAATTTATCTTCTGTCTCCCTCTTAAAATTGCAATCTTGGTAAAGGCAGAAACCATTGTACTCACAGTTGCCATGGTGATGACCTATGGTAGGCATTCAATTACATCTGGTGCCTAACTAGATGGATGGTTACTACAAGAATTTGGTCACATGATTTTCTTTCAATGTTTAAGATGGAGATATAATTCATCTACTATAAGATTCATCCTTTTAAAATGTACAATTCAGTGTTTTCTAGGATATTCATGAAGTTGTGCAACTATCATCACCATTAATTCCAGAATATTTTCATCAGTAAGAAAACACATACCCATTAGCAATTACTCCCATCCTCCCCTCCCCCCAGCCCTTGGCAATCACTAATTTACTCATTTCTGTCTCTTTACATTTCCCCATTCTCTACTTTCATATAAATGTAATCATTTATATGATTCATTAATATGGGGTCTTTTTTTCCCCTGGCTTCTTTCACTTAAGGTTTTCAAGGTTCATTTGTCAGTACTTCTTTCCTTTTTAATGGCTGAATAATATTGCACTCAATGGATACACTACATGTTGTTTTCCCATTCTAGACAAGGATTTCCCATTCTAGACACTAGGATTTTTAACATCCACTCCAATTCTAGGATCCTCTATTCAAGTGAGGGGCTACCACCGAAGTTTATAAACCTAAATCACAGTAAATCTTTATGCTTTACAGTTTTTCTCTGCCCTGAAGTTGTCACATCTTACCTACCCTAGATCCAGGGAGAATCATCCTGTTCTGACCTACCAACCCTGAAAACAGTAACATCAGACTCTCCACCTTGATTTCAGGATTCCGCTTTTCCCCCGACCCCAATCTTCTCCTCACTGCCCACCTATTTCTTGATTGTACTAATTGTTCTCACCAGATACGCATTGACTGAGATTGGACGGAATTTTCTTCCCACGTCTCTTGCCCCGTCCCCGGGCTCAGTGAACGTGCAACTTCTTCGCCATTAACCTCCCCCATCCTCCGCCCCCCACCCCCCGCCAAAATCCTTCCTTTGTTTTCCAAGGAAATTCAGGTAAAAGAAAGGGTGGGGCAAACGATATTTTTGACTTTCCTCACAATCCAGACGTTGGAAAGAAAACGGATTTCCTTTGGGCTGCTGCCACGACTCTGATCTTTTATGCTGATAAAATATTTCCTTCTTCTAAAAAAAAAGTTATGGGAAAAAAATCATACCACTGCAGCTACAGTTACTCTTAACTCTCGCGTTTAAAGGGGGAAAAAAACGTTTAGAAGTTTACCTCTCTTTCACAGAGCGGCTTTCTACCTAGCAGGTCAGGTCTCGCCACCGGGAGCGAGCTGGGGCAGCCGCGCTCTGGCGAGGCTGGCGAGCAGGAGGACTACAGGATCCAGAGGGCTTTGGAGACTCCGACAGCTCCAAGCCTGTTGGCTACTGCGGTTTCCCCGAGGAGTGACGCTATGAAAACAAACTCTGATTGGTCAGGCCTGAGCTGAATTCTCCATTTATGGACAGATTGCCCAGCCCGAGCCGAGGCTCAGCCAGAGGAGTACGGAGTAAGTGGCCGAAGAAAAAGGAGCGAGGCAGGGCGGCTAGTCTGACGCGCGGAGAGCTGCGGACTCACATCGGCGGGCGGCGGGCGGCGGGCGGCGAGCGCCCGGTCCCGGTGGACCCCTGCCCTCGGCAGCATGTGCCCGGTCTGCTAGGTCGCTTCCTTCTCGCCCTCACCTAACGCCGCGGATCCCTCCTGGATGGAGTACCCCCAAGGTTCCCATTGGTTCCTGTGAGTGCTTGGGTGTCGAGAGCCTGTTTTTGGCGAAGGGAACCAACTTTTGAAGTTCGCCCAGGAGACTGCGTTCCAGCTCAGCTCCCCGGCAGCCGGACCCGGAGGAGGCGCGACCGCGGCGCGAGTCACCATGGTGAGCTGGCTGCGCCGACGTCCCGGGGCGCTTGACCCCGGGATGGGGCGGGAAGCCCGGGCGCGGGGCACCCACCTTGGGCGCGCTGCCGAGGCCAGGGGTGGAGAAGGTGGACGCGAGAGTCGGCACGTCGCGAACCCTGATTTCCTGCCGCTCCCCTGCCACCGGGGCTGGGGCAGAGGAGGCGAGGGGCCAAGGAAAACTTTCTTTGGAGTCGCTCTGGGCGTCCCGAAACTTTTCGTGGCCGGGTGGCCAT